TAAGAAAGTTGCTTTTACATTAGGTCGAAATCAAGTTCTTTATATACATGTTCTTTACATATTAGCCCGAATTGCGCAAATCCGCCCGTTTTGAAGAATCATCACTAATCTCTACTAAATAAAGTTAAATAAATATGAATGTGCTACGGATTAATTAATTAATAATAATAATTAAATACGCGAAACGTAACACGAATTCAGATGATAATAAATAATTATACACGTTATTGATAAATAAATAGAATTAATAAAATAAAAATAATAAAAATAATGGATTAAATAATAATTAATAAAAATAAAAATAAAAATAAAAATAAAAAATAAAAATAAAAAATAAAAATAAAAATAGAAATAAAATTTAAATTGTCCTGGAATCAACCAAAAGATCTGCATCAAAATCTAATTCCAGTAACAATACTTATCTATTTTTTCTTTTTAATCCTTTTAACAACATAAATCATAGAAATCATAAAACCTAAAATTAAAGTTGTGCCTGCTATTCATAACCAAATAGATTTATCACCAAATTCTTTGAAATATTGTTTTTATATTCTGTTGCTGATTTGGCAAAATCTTCATCTTTTAAATCACTGAAGTGGTTTTGACATGATAAATATTATCACCAGTAGTGTTACAATTAGTTTTATAGTCTGGTAAGACATAAATTTTATCACTAGGAAGATTTTCTTTTGCTTGTTTAATTATAAAAGAATTGTCATCAATAAAAATATCAAAATCAGGATGATTTTTCTGGATTCATTGATACCTATATTCTTCTCTTTCTATAAAACGACCAGGTTTTTGGATTGATAATTCAACATTAATGATTTGTCATTCTTTCTAGTTCCATCACTAGCTGAGGCAATAACTAATTTATTAATCAAAAACTTTCTTTTAAACACTTTAATAAATCCTCAGCAATAGAAAGAAAATATGCTTTTTCATAATAATTAGCATCAAACTTTATCTTTGCAAATTCTTCCCTAAGCTTCTCTGTTCCTCCAAGTCTGTTTTGAAGTTTCACAATTTCTTTGTTCTTTCATTTATATTCCCCATTTTCATCTCTTTCATATCCAGCAAAGGGAAGATAATCATTATCCCTTAAACTGGCTATTGTATAAATTTGTACGATTAAATTTTTTTATATAGAAAAATTTTTCTGATCATCATGCTTTCTAATTAACAAATGATATTTGAGATTTTATACATTGATCTATATAT